TTACACCCTCTCTATATCATTTATTTTAACAAGAACTTTTATTTTCTAAAATTCTGTTTGCACTGACCCTTTACAGTCAAAGCAGTGATACCATAAGAAAAATGAGATTATTCAAAATCATATGATAGTATATAATATTAACTAGTTTCAGAAGATCTCTACTATTCAGAGTATTTTTTTATTTGACGTTGTACTTGTCTTCATAAGTACTCGTATTAGCTCATGCAAATTCTACAATTTAATTAATCTTTATTAATTAGATTTACCCCTAGCATGAAAATAATTTATGTGCTTATTTGAATTTTGTAACAAATGACTAGCACGAAGTTGTTTTTGTCATTTTGTTGGAAGATGGGTAGTTCCGCAGAGATTGCATGTCTATGGTCCAAGCGTTTGTGATGAGCTTTATTCAAATCAGTAGTCTTGACTTTTAAACGAGTATGTCATAGCTTGAGGGCATAGACGGTTTTCTTGATTGTTGGACTGTTCTATATATAGATGACTGAAATATTGTAGTCATCGCTTCGTGCTCCAATTTTGTTCACAAATTGGATACGTGATGCACCCGCCCGACTAATTTCTCATTTTACAGCCTTTCGACCTCCCCATTCCATCCTTTGGGAGGTAATCCTATCATTAGTGATATCCTGATATTCCAACTTTCTTAATCAAACTTGTAATCTTGAAGACTAATTATAAACTGCTATCTAATACCGCTATACTTCACCCTCAACTAAATGCCTCTTAAGGCGTTTACTTATGCTTGTTCTCGTCGAGCGAATCTAAGAAGCGTCTTGTTATATACAATATAAATTAAAATCGATTCCTTTTGTGATGTTCCAAATTCCATGAGAACGCTATACGCTATACATATTCGTGTAGTCTTTTGATGTAACCTAAATCGGTTTTTCAACTTCATTAATAAGACATTTTTTCTGTTGCAGGTAAGGGAGAATCTCTATATTTCATCAGTGCTTGCAATCAACGTGAGTATGATTTCGTTAGACAAAAGTGGAAATGACTGAAAATTAGGTAGTACTTCCATAGTAGTCTGTACATAAAGTCAACTGTCATTTTCACAAAACACTACTGTTACAATTTGTACTTGATGAATGGAAACCAAAAGAGAGAAATTTCCGAAATAAAAAAAAAAACGTTGACACATACACAAAGCACCATCTAGCGGCCCGCAAACTGAACTAATCTTACAAGTGGAGTGACAAAATTTTTCACAGGGATGTTTTGCGGCTAGGAAGGCATAAAGGCATATCGTCTGGTACCAAAACGGAGAGGGTAACAAAAGACATCCGCATCGCTGCTAACTAAGGCTTTGAATATGTCAAAATTTGGGCGCACGGGCTTTTTCGATACAAAGGTATGCCGTGCTAACAGTGGCGTGCTATAGCTATGTCAATCTCTTCCGTTTTGGTGACCCATTATATAAGGCTATAAGGAAGAAGAGTGGTCTAATGCGGCTCATAAGGATCTTGTAAAAACACTGATGGATGAATTAAATAATAAAAAAAAAGATGAGAAGTGAAGAAAACTCCGAAGCTGAATTAACTGCTGAATTAACACTGAATTAATAAAGCAGAATCAAGAATATCGGTTTAGTGATTATCACGGATTAATAAAATGCATTTTTGAAGTTTTAAGGCCAAATGTGCGTTGAAATCTATGATGTATAATATACGTCTAATGGGTGCGTAGAATTACCCAGGCTTAAGCATAAATATACTAACGCTAAAAAGTACTACTAAAACACTCAACCCCTAATAATTCTGAAAATAATCGGGTGCCTTTAAAACGAAGTTATGGCAGTCTTTTTTATTTTTCCCATAACTAGACCGATTTTCAAATCCTACAAAGCTTTTTCGTCCTTGGCACAGGAGTAACCTAGTGTTGAAATTTCATCAAAATCCGAGAGGTACTTTCCAGGTAGGGGCCAAGGATTAGCGGACAGATAGACGTGATTAGGTACTATAGATCGACCAGCCAAAGATTGCTAGGGACGAAAGGGGGAAATGCGATGAAAAAACCTTACCATTAGACGATTTTATATGGAGTCATAGGCGGAGATCGGAGAGACTTGAATTATTAATTGAATTTATATTTTATTACAACTGGTAGTATTAATATTTTTTTGCGATTCATAATGACGTGATACCAAACATACATTATAAGAAATAAATATACACAAACACTGAATATTGAGAACAAAATAAATATATTTTTTAGGCAACAAGTAATATTCCTATGTACGCATTATGATTGAACAGCAAAACAAATTATGCATTCTTCTAAAATAGAATACAACAAGTCAAAAATATCTGACTGAATAGAAAAATATAGGAAAACAAAAAGTAATTTCTTGATGAAATAACCCATAAACAACACATAGAATTAGACTTTCTACTGAGATACTAAAAGCCACAAACCAATAGTATAATAAATGAATATCTAAAAATTCTAAAAGGTAGCCAATCTAGTATAGTTTCAATCCTGATTAGAGTCATGATCACTGTCTGAGGAACTGTCATTGCTATCACTTTCACCTCCTATGTTGATTATTATTTCTTCCTGTATTTCTTGAATGAGACTGTCTTTTTCCCAATATTCATCTTCAATTTTTATAACATGTCCAATAACCTTTTGCCAGTCACTGGCACTTACTGAAGCGATGGCCTTATTAGAAATTTCATCTAGTTTTTTTATAGTAAATTCGCCGCTTGTATTATGGCTTCTAATGAAAAATTTTACTTGTGCCCAAATCATCTCTATGGGATTAAACTGACACATATAGGGTGGCGTTCGAAGTGGGGTGTGTCCGAAACTTCTTATTAAATTATCTATCTTATAATTTTTCTCATCAGATGGTGGCCTATGTAGACAAGCTATTTCATAAAGCTCCATTTTTTTAGCATTAGGATCATGCTCTATACCTTTTTTGCTCAACCACGTGATGATGTCTCTTTTTAGAGAAGATCTAGTTGGAGGCTTGTCTTCCAAAGCTGAATGGTAAGGTGCATTATCCATTATTATAATACTATTAGGAGGAATGTTAGGAAATAGTTTTTCAGTAAGCCACTTCGTGAAATTTTCTTGGTTCATTTGACCGTGATAATCACCAGTGGCACAGCCAGCCTTGAAAATGAGACAGGCTCCAGGAACAAAACCATCTTGCGAACCCGCATGAACAATTATAAGTCGTCCTGGAAATGAATAAATAGCCTCATTTTAGTGTTATTTTAAGTTTGCCAACACCTTTTTGAATCACTATGTATAAAAAACATATTTTTGAGAAAAAAATACTTGCAAGGGATTATGTATTCAATTAGACAAATTAAATGAGCACTTATTAAGAATATTCCAAAATTGAGAAAAATGTATAATAAGCAAAATCGAGGTGAAAGAAACTTTATTACCTGTAGAACTTATATTGCTCAGGACACCCATAATTTCTTCGCTTTGCCAGCATTTCTTGAAAGTGAGGTCATTATCAACCCAAGTTTCGTCCAAATAAATAATATGCCTTCCTTCTTCCCGGAACTTTTTAATAGACCTAAGATACTTGTATCGCCAATGTAAAATACTGGGTCTTTCCATTAGTAATTTCCTTTTGTTGTGGCATTTACGCCAGTAAAATCCTTTTGCTTTTAAAAGCAGCCTCAACGATTCTTTACCAAATGGAAATTCCATTTCTTCCTTCAGTTTGATTAGAAGTTTACTACAAGTAGGTACCACTTTAAAATCACAGTAAAATTTTTCTATCATTCTCCGAATAATGGAAAAATCGACTCCATCAATTTTTTGGATCACAGAAGGGCGTGATCTCTTTTTTCCGGGAGAAGCTAAAGGCTGTGTGGAGGTTGCATTTTGCCTGTCTTTATCTTCTTTTCTAATTTTACTTATAGTTCGTTCACTAACACCCGTATAATATGCCGCCCTTGCATTTCTAGCTACCAGTGGATAAACGAAAGTATTGTTAGCCGCTTCTGCATCGCAAGCACGTATCACGTTTGCTATTATTTCCCTTGCCTGGCTGTGAATAACTTTCCCATGCTTGAATTCCATTATCACCACTAAACAGTAAATTATATTTTCAAAGTATTTGCCAACTGCCTACGCCTATGGGAGTAGGTTTATAAATGACCGTGCCATCGGCACGTTATTCTAGTTTCAGATAAGATAAGAGTTTTGGACCAATCAGCGACCGGATGTTTACCTGCGGCCTGGGTTTTCCAGCTACATTGCCAAATTCAGCGGAACAATTCTATATCTTAAATATGTTAATATGTATGGACCGCATTTTATGTAGAACATCTGACAACTTCGCAATTTTTTGTCCGCATTCTTTCGGCTTGCAATCTTTCGCTGGTCCAACAGTACTTCCATAGTGGTCTACACATGAAGTCACCTGTTATTTTCACAAAAGACTACTGTTGAACAGATATTTTGTGCCTAAATAACATGGATGCTTGGGGCATAGTGGGTTTATAACTACAATTTGTACTTGATGAATGGAAAGCAAGAAATTTTCGAAACAAAAAAAAAACGGTGACACAACACAAAGCGCCAACTAGCGGCCCACAAACTGAACTAATCTTACAATAATGAACCTTCATTAGGAGCCCAGGTGAATGCTCTTTCAAATGAAATCAAGATGATGAAAATTGCTGCAGCCAAACAGAAGTTATGTGACTTTTTCAGAAATGGCATTCAACCCTTCCCCCACACACAAAGTAGGCAGTCAACGCGATAAGCCTATTTAATGAGTATGTTGGTTATGAGTTTTGGCTGAAGATAATTTCGTACAATTTGTGTTGGTCACTTTCACCAAAAGAAAAAAAATGTTACCGATAGGGCGTCCTTTATTATTGGCTCACCCGCTACATTTATAAAATTTCTATACTGGTAATCCGGCTGATTATTGTAAGAACGTGAATAAATCAAACATATCGTGTGCTGCACCCACAATACGATGTAGTAGACTGCCTAACTTGGACGCCATGCATCTCGGAAACTACTAGTGGAAAAACTTCGAACCCATTGATACTGTCTACTGAGAGATCTACAACATCCTAAATTAAAAAAAAATAGTCAAAAGCCGTTTTTCATTAGGTTTCTGTAGGGTATTTTCATGAGAGGCTGAATGACTACAGAAAAGTAAATGTAAAATAATATATTCGAGTTAAGTGGAAGAGCAACTACAGCTGAATTTCGCCCTTATTTATGTTGAAATTTTTTGGTGTAAATCTATTTGGAACTAATGATGTTTATTATTAGATGTTATTATTATCTATCCATACAATATTACCGGAATCAGTAATTTCCGGTGTCTTATCAGATTTGAGTCCATTTTTCAAGAAATTCTGTTTTGACTTCAAACGGCTATAGCCTTGTTTGTCACATTGTTCATTCACCATGGATCCCAGTCATCTAGAGCAGAGATTGGACTAATTTATATAAACTCTTAATCGTTTTCATATATCAAACGTCCTTTTCATATCATTCCTTTACAGGTACTATATGTTATAGGACCGAGATAGGTATTTCTTTGTGATATGGCCTTCAATAAAGTCTTTTTATGATGAAATTAAAATGTCCTGCTAAGCATCCTTCGAGTGCCATAAAAAATTCGAAACGATCGTCCATCCAAGCATAAAGCCGTCGTAAAGTTTTATTTCGGCCTAAATATCTCGAAATTTCACCACAAACAGGGTGATCCAAACTGGTAGCTCGGTTTTTCCAAAGTACCTACCATGAACGAATTCCCGTTTTTAACACGCTTTTATAAGCTTGGCCTGGATCGGTGCAGAATATGGAAAAATTTACAGACTAGATCACAACTAATAAATAAAGCGAATGTACTACTTGGCGATGACGGTTATGGTATTGAGCCATGCCTTATGACTCCCTTCAGAAATCCTACTCCAGGTGCAGAAATAAATTATAAGAAGCTTTTAAAACAAGAAAGGGTTATAATTGAACGCTGTTTCGGCCACGTGAAACGCCGGTTTCCTATCCTACAGTATGTTTGCTGCGTAAAGTTGGGTGTGCCGAAAATAATTATTGCTTGTATTGTACTCCATGATGTTGCGAAAAGCTTGGGCGATCCTGACTTTGAGTTAGTTTAACAAGACCCAGATGAAAATGAAGGAAATCGTGAGAATGACGAACTTCCTCTCCGTCAACTAGGTCAACAAATAAGAAGAAACTTGAGTATTATAATAAATAGTTTTACTGATTAAAGTGTATTTATAAGTTATACTATGTTTTATTTTCGTTAACATCATAAGTTACAGTTGGCTTCTGACGAAGCATCATTTCTAATTTCGTTTTATAATACTCTTGTTGTAAAATACTTATTTGGTACTTCTGTAATAGCACTAGACGTTGCAGTTCTTTTGTAGTGGTTTCCTCAGTTTCGTATTTCTTGGTTGCTAATTTTCTTTTTGGTGGCAATGTCTTCTGAATTGCTGGCGCTGTTTGCTCACTGCGCTCGGTATATAGTTCACTTCCTCCTTCTTGAACACTACCAACCTGAATGGCACCTCTAATTTTCCCAATTGTAGGATTACAGTCACCTTCCATAGCTTTCAGCAACTTTCTTTTATAATCTAACAATTTAATTGCTTTATTACCAGTTTTTTTTAGATCTGTTCTTTTCTTCAATCTTGATCTCATGTTGTTGATTGTTTTTAATAAGCCTTTAGTAACTAATGGTTCACCATATTTTTTCAACATCTTCTTCAAGGCATCGTTTTTTCTCATTTTATTTTTGGAACTTGTGACTTTTGCAAAATAATGGGAGCAATCGCAATTTCATCTGCGATGAACTGCAGGTCGTTGCCATTATTTTCTATAGTTTCCTCATCACTTGAGGATGACAAGCTTATTAATTTGATAAAACACTGCATCCAGTAAAAATACGGAACGATCTGTGTAAGCTCTGGGGTACAACTGTCAGTGATGCTAAGTGACGAACTCCCACGTCAACTACAAGCCGAAACAAGTCAGGACATGTCGCTCAAGATACAAATACCAGTCAACCTTTTACTTTTTCTTGGAGGATATCCTCGCGCGTATCAGGTAATCATTATGAATATGAAAACAAGGATATGCTTATACTTCTACCGTTTTCTCCGAAGCAAGACCTTATACTTTTACCTTATGCTTCCGAAGATATGCTTCTCTTTTATGAATACGGCTCACTATCTCGACAAATAAAAAATATATAATGATATTCGCGCAAATTTAAGGAAAAAGAAACGTATAATTCAGTTTTTTATATCACAAAAAATGGTTTTCCACAAGTTGACCAGCACTTTTTTGACACCGCGAGACCTGTACTCTGTCTGAATTCAGTTTCATTTACTTTTGTTTGTGCAACCACTTGTATGCGGCGCTATTTCAACTTTATTGGGAAACGTCAGTACGATTGATAATATTCCATCTGCTCCGTACTATCAACTGCTGCATCAGTATATATTCTGTTATACCTGTTGTTCCATCAGGCTTGTTATAAATATGGAGATCGCGTTGTGATATTCTTTTATTTATTCCACATTCCGTATGGTACGTAGCGTGGATGTTTTCATAGCCAACTCCATGTTTGCACTGCTTTTCAAGATCAACAACAGTGTAGGTGCACACTTGTTTGCAGTACAAACACTCGCTACTCTATTGTGTTATTCTTCAATTCACGTTTTTTGCTTCATGAGCGTAGAATATATGGCCTTTATCAACTAAAACATGCTTTCAAACCAAGGGCGTTGTTGCCCAAAAGTCTTGCTCACTTATGGAAAAATAAAATCTCTCTAACCGTTATCTTTTGAATAAAAGCTTCTTATTATTTTCTGAGCACCGTTGCACTCAAATCTATCGCGGTAGTGCTTTGACAGTACTAAAATGTTCTCTTTCATGTGCACAAACATCGAAATACTTATACTATATTAATCTCCCAACGCTTTCAGATTGAAGTTGTTTTAAGAAATACAGAAGGTCCACCCAGAATATCTTTCGGTAATTTTTTTAAAAGGTTCCCACCTTGCACATAAGAGAGATAACTTTGGAACTTTGAGCACGGCGTTAATGTTCAATTTCAATGGTCAGGTGCGGCACCGATTTACATCATCAAAAATATCAACACCTGTGAGCAACTACACTCCGTAAAATTTTGTCACGTTCAAAAAGAATATGAAATCGAATTTAAATTGAATGACACTATATGAATGATTCACTATTTATACACATTTATGAAGTTATGTAAAAATTATTCTTGTATTGAACACTTTCGCATATGTACATGATTGTATTGTATGAGGGCATGGCTCAAGAAATAATAACAAGTATAGCAAAAAAACATTTAAATATCTATACTCGTACGTGTGTTTTTAAAAATTATTAAAAAGCAGGGTAAAAAGGTTCATCCACTTTTCATACGTATGCCTTCACGCATCAATCAGTTAGTATCGATTTTTGCCATTACCGATAGGCGAAATTTTTCTATTTTATTTTTTTCGTGTTCAGATGCTTTATTTAGATTCAACGCCAGGATTGTTAGCAAAAACAGGAAATATTAAAAACTCAGCGAACATCGTATCCCTCTATTTTAGAGTGCTTGATAATATTCAACTTTTGTTTTCTGAAAGTGTCACAAATACCTGATAATCTTCGAACATAATTAATAAGTAATTACATGCATTGAAATATTTATGAAGTTGCAGATCGAATTGGGGTAGCTTAGGAAATGTTGTCGAATCATTCAAAAATCCAGATGTTTTTTCAAGTTACTTAGTTTGTAAGTCGTAAAAGAAAAATAAACTGCTAAGAAGTATCGTTCCAATATAATCTGTTTCACTCCATTATTTAAACTTTTTCTATAAATTGAACTACATACTATTTATATTGAAGTCATCAGAGCGTCTCTGAGATTGTGTCGGAAAATATATTTGTAATCTATTATCAACACCACATACAATTTGCACAAGCAAACTACAGAGAATCAGCCACCTCTATACCATTACACTGTGACCTTGGAAAGGATTATATCTCCCCAATGTATACACTAATAGCACACACTTTAAGACAGTTCAACAAACAGAATAACGATAATACTGCACAGGTAGTACTGGGACTATCCTAAGCCATAATAATTTCTGTGAGCCACCATAAGAAGGTACCCAGGTCAAGTCATAAAGGAAACAACCGACCTGACCATGAATACCAGTCTGAAGCGTAAAGCCCTGCCACATGGTGCTGAGTGTAAAGAAAACAGAGGACTCATCTGTCACGAAAACGGGCTTTCGAGTATATTTTTAGGGTGACGCCTCTAAATTTCTACTCGGCCATCTAGCACAGATGAAAGCCTGCCCACAGCCATTGTTGCCAGTCAAGTAAAAAGTCAATATACAAATAGCAAAAGCTTGAAGATTCCTCATAACAACTCAAATTGCATGTGATTGGCTATTAAAATAATTCCATGAATTTGTAACGTATATGAAATTGGAAATAATATGGAGAAATATCTGTTTTCATAGAAGTCAATGTATAGAACTATAAGGATTATATCAAAAACGAGATAATTAGGCAACGATATTGAACCAGAAAAGTAGTTTAATGTTCAGGGTATTCTAAAAGTTGGAACTTTTTTTCTAAGAAACATCTATGAAATAATAAATCTCCAATATGTCGTAAACCAGCGTTGAAAAAAAAATGAGAATTGTTAATTAAAAAAACGTTATTATTTAAGTTACTGCCAAAGGCTTCATATGTAACATAATCTATATAAAATGAAGGTTCCAAATTGAAAAATTGTTGGCCTTTGTTTGAGATAAACAAATTCGTGGATCAGGATGAAAACATCCAGGGTTCTAATAGCTTGACTTTAGTGAATAGTAAAAACTGTGAAAAGTTTCAATCGCTTTTACTATCTATCTATTTCATGACACGAAGAAAATTTAAATTTTGGAATTTGATTTTTTCTTAAATAGACCAACTGAAATTATGGCAACACTGTACACCACCATTTTCGAACGGTCGGTTGAGTCATAAACAATGAGGGATCTGTCAGGAGGGT